CCTAGAATAAACTAGAGTTTATATACCTAGAATAAACTAGAGTTTATATACCTAGAATAAACTAGAGTTTATATACCTAGAATAAACTAGAGTTTTATATACCTAGAATAAACTAGGTATATATTTTTATATACCTAGTTTATATTCCTAGAATAAACTAGAGTTCATGCTGTCCAAGGAAATTCAGGTGTTTTCACTCAGGACTGATTCACTAGAGTTTCAGAGCTTGGCTTCTTGTTGTTAGGCGCCATCAAGTCAGCTCCAACTCATAATGAGCCTATGCACAACACAATAAAACACTGCCTAGTCCTGTGGGATCTTCACAAGGGGTGTTATGTTTGAACTCATTGTTGCAGACACAGAGTCAATCCATTTCATTGTGGGGGAAGGGGTCTTCCTCTTTATCACTGACTCTCTACTTTATCAAAGTATGATGTCCTTTTCCAGGGACTGGTTCCTTCTGATAACATGTCTAAAGTAATTGAGACGAAGTCTCGTCATCCTTACTTATAAGGAGCATTTGGCTGCATTTTTTCCAAGATAGATTTGTTTATTCTTTCTGAAGTCCGTGGAACTTTCAATATTCTTCATTAATCACAGTTCAAATGCATCAATTCTTCTCTGGATTTCCCCACATGTCTGGTAGTTTGTCATACTCTGGCGGCTTGAGTGTTGTTTTGCCACTGGTGTTTCAAATATCTGCAGGGTCACTGTTGGTGAACAGATTTCAGTGGAGTTCCCAGACTAGACTAGGGAGAAGAAATAGGTGGCCCATTTCTTAGGAATAATCACTGGAAACCTTATAAATAGCAGTGAAGCATTGTTTAACATAGTGCCAGAAGATGTGCCACTTAGGCTGAAAGTCACTGAAAACATGACTGAGGAAGAGCTGCCTCCTCAAAAAAGAGTCAACCTTAATGATGTGGATGGAGCAAAGTTTTCAGGACCTTCATTTGCTGATGGTGCATGATCCAAAGTGAGAAGAAACTGCTACAAACATCCATTAATAATCAGATTGTGGAATGTACATAGTATGAATCCAAGACCAGGAGGGAGCAGTATCTGCTAAAGGCAATAGTGTTACTCTGGGAATGTAATTTTGTCTTGGAGGAGTAGAATGCTCTAAAAGTCAACATTATCTTGGAAGGTCCAGTTCCCCCTATTGGACCAGAGTGGCTTGAGAGGTCTGGGTGCTTATTCAGTGATTAGTATGTCTAGGAGTGTCAGATGATCTGGGATCTCAGTCAATCTATTGTATTATCCTTGTATGGTCACCAACTAAATAGGATGTTTTGTTTGTTCAAAATATTTTAGGGTGAGTCAGGATATCTATAGTTTATTAGAATGTTGAGAAGAGTGTAGTGTGGGGAAGGCTGGTTTCCTTTAAGTAGTTCTTCTCAGACTTTGATGTACATTCAGATCACCTGGAGAGTTCATTACAATGTAGATTCTGATTCAGCAGGCCCAAGATTCTGCATTTCTAACAAGCTTCCATTTGCTGCTTATGTCGCTGATCCTTGAATCATTTTGTAAGTATCAACATCTAGAAGATTGCATTTCTTAAATTGTCAGGATGTTTTCAAATAATGCGTATGAGTAAGTAGAATATCCTTGGGAATAAGACTATGAGTACAGTGTATTCCAAGAGGCTTAGAGGGTCCTCAGAGGATCAGTGTGTTGCTGAGAGGTCAGAACTTCATGGATAGGATCATATTTCTAATCTAAATCTGGGTATCATAATGGGGTCATAATATTCTGGGTATCAGAATGTACTAGAAAGTCCTAGGGTTCTTAAAGGGCCAGAGTGTCCTGGGAGTTCAGGGTGTCCTGGAGATGTCAGAATTTACTTCCTGGGTCTATATGACCTCATGAGGCAGAGTACTATGGGGGTCAGAGTGTCCTGATTGGTCAAGGATTCTGGATAGGTCAGGGTATCCTTGAAGAATCAGAATGTTAGAATGACATAAGAATGCCAGTTTCCTGCACGATCTTGAGGTCCTGGTGGTCAGGAAGCACCTTGAAACCAGATAGATGCCCTTGAGGGCCAGGGATTTCTAGGGGTCTGGCACTGTAGGATAACCACTGAACTGCTAATCACAAGGTCAGTAGTTTAAATGCTCCAGATGTTACTTGGAAACACTATGCAGGGTCACTATGAGTTTGAACTGACACCATGACACATAACAACAAAACAATACAACATATAATCTTGATAGTCATAGTGTTCTAGAGGTTCTTGGTGAATGAGGAGGTGATTTGGGGGAACAGAAAATAGAGAGATACTGTAGTGTTCCACAGACCCGTCTAAAGGACTGGGGTTTTCCAGAGAAGATGGCTAGTATATGAAGGATTTCAATAAGTTCATGGACAAATTTCATTATCCTTTCACTCCATTTTTCTATGAACTTTTTGAAGCCCATAGTATTTTGAGATATTGGGGTATCCAGGAAGGGTCAGAATATGCCTGTAACTTTTAGTTTTTTACTTTCCTAGAAACAGGTCCTTGGGTATCATCCATAAGCTGAGATCCCAGTTAGTCTGTATTCCCACTTGCACCCTCACTCCCTACCCTAAGTGAGACTTTGGAGAGTGGTCTTAGAAGAAATGCATTTTCACCTCCTTCCCAGCTTGCTCTCAGAAGGGGATTTAATAGGACAAAGGAGTTGGTCTCTGGGAATATGAGCTCTTGGCCCCAGTCCCTGGACCCTCCAACAGAACACCTTTCCTCATCTGACTTGTGATCCTCCCCTGAGGAGGGGCTTTGGTGGCCAGGTAATGATTGGATGGGCCACAGGGGGTGAGGAGGCGGTTGCTCCTCCAAAACTCAGGGAGAGAGTAGTGAGTGTAGGACTCTAAGCTGGTCAAGGGAGGTAGCTTAGAGAAAAGAGAGAGAGCTGTGATCCTGTGGAGAGAAGGGACAGTGAGAAAAGCAGAGACATGAGCAGGAAAACAGGGTGAAGGCAAGACACAGAGAATGAGATAGACTTGAACTAAGGAATGGGGAATTAGAAACAAAGAGGAGATATCAAAAAAGACAAAACAAAATATCTATCTTCAGATCTATATTCAAATCCATATCCATATACAAAGACACAGAGAAAGATAGAAATAAATAGAGGGAAAAGAAGTAAGACAATAGGCATAAAGGGAAGGGAATGATAGAAACCAAGAAAGACTGACCCAGAATAAGATTCAGGAACACAGAAGACTGGAAGTCTTTGGTTTACGCTGTTAGTCATGGAAGCAGAAAGGAGGAATCCGCAGAGTAAGGGGAAAAAGGGAAGAGTTCACAACAGTGTCTTGCCTGAGAGATACTCAGATGCTGGGACTCTGACTTCCACTGTGGGTGAGTGAATCTCTGGGCTGTGGCTTGGGTAGCAGATGTGGGGTTCGGTACCTGGGTTCTTGTGGCGCAATAATTCTCCATAAGGAAGGTTAAGAGGAGAAAGAAAACAGAATCCTAGAAAAGTGTAGAAAATCTCAGGCGCATCTGGCAATGCAACTCCTTCAGTATAAACTGGGAAGCAGGCTCTGGCATTTAGTGCACATCCGGTAGGGGCAGTCACAAAGTTGAAATCTCAGTCTGTTCTTTCCCAAACTCTATCAGGATGATGACTTTTCTGAGGGAAGGAGCTGGAGGGGTCAAGTCTTTGACTTCAGGGAGATTAGGGTGTCAGTGTCCCCAAGGTGGGAGTTGAGCTATGGGGTGCAACCCCCCAGGTTGCCATGGGGATGGTGCCTCAGTCCCAGACATCTTGTCTGAATGTGTGCCTTCCAGGTGTTTCCTTTCCCTCCCTGTTCTCTCTTCCTCACTCTCAGACTAATTAATGTGGAGGCTTAGGGAGTCGGTAGGGAGGAGAGGAAACCTTTCCCACGAGCTCAGGTTCCTGCAGGCTGGTGGAGGGGCCAAAGCAGGGATATGGGGAGAAGATGAAGTGTACCTGAGGGTAAGGGTGTGTCTGAGTGGAAGAGGGAGTGAGTGCTTCACCTTCCCAGGGGAGGGGTGTGTGAGGATAGGAGCAGAATAATGAGTGTTGAATGTGAGCCCTGGCAGTAGAGAATGAGTAACAGCAGTCTTCTGCAGAGACTTGAAAAGCTCTTGAAATGTGGGAGCAAATAGGAGATCCATAGAGTGAAGCCCAGGTGTGTAGTGTATGCACTGAGAAAAATGAAAAACCTGGGTTCCATGGAAATCTGTCTGGGGAGTATCATAGGGATTAGGCATACAATGGGCTAGTAAAGGAAGGATAATGTCAGGATGGGGAGTGGTGGTCTGAGGGGTGTACACTCTAAGTGGAGAGCAGAGTCTGGGCTATGGGACTCAAAGGTGAAGCAGGGTTGAGGTTGAGCTGGGTCCAGGAAAGGTGTCTGGCTGGGACAGGATGTATGACAGTGAAGCAGCATGAATGGGAGGGGACTGAGCAGAATCTGGGGGACCAGCATATGTGAGGTAGGAACTGGATGAGTATTCCCATTCTGACACCACCCCTCCCTTCCTCTCTCTCCTCAGATAGGAGCACTCAGCCCTACAAGAGAGTCTCTGGTGTGGGATTGGGGAGACCAAGGTTTTCCCAGCAAGGAGCACAAAGGGTTTGCCCCCACTCCCGGCGCCGACACCGCACCACCTTCAACCCAGTACAGTTGGAGCAGCTGGAGTCAGCCTTCATGAGGAACCAATATCCTGACATCTGGGCACGAGAGAGTCTTGCCCAGGACACAGGCCTCAGTGAAGCCAGGATCCAGGTGATGCCCCAGACTTTCCCCCCTCTCAGAATAAATGCTGGTTCAGTTCTTGGGGATTGCCTGGGTATAAATTCTCATGGACAATATAAGCTTAATTTAAGCCTCCACCAGACTGTAAGCCCCACTAGCTGCCAGTGTAACAAGCTGAAGCAAGAGCTCACTGAGTTTAACCTTAGCTCTAACTTAACCTCATTTAAGTTGTGTGGCACTGTGGGCTAATGCATCAGACTGCAAAGTCGCTTGACCTGCAAGGTCGGGGGTTCAAGCTAACTAGTGGTTCCTTGGAAACCCTATACAGGGTCGCTATGGGTCGGAATCGACTCAACGGCACTTGACAGCAACAATAATAGTGATTTAAATTGTAACAGAAGTCAATCCTAACTGTTCACATACATATGTAACTTTGTCCTAACCATAGCCTTGAAACTGATGTAAACCTATCATTTTAGCCATGAGATTGTTGTTGTCATTAAGTACCATCGAGTCAGTAGCAACCCTGTACAGAGTTTCCAAGGAGTGGTTGGTGGGTTTAAACCACCAACCTTGCAGTCAGCAGTCTAGTGTTTATCCTATAGCACCATACCAGGTTGTTGTTGTTGTTGTGTGCCATTGAGTTGGTTCCAACCCATAACAACCCTGTACAGGGTTTCCGAGGAGTGGCTGGTGAGCTTGAACCACTGACATTGCAGTTCAAACGACTTTGCAGTCTAGCACATTAACCCACAGAGCCACACCAGGACTCCACTGTACCAGGTTAATTAACCTTAAATATGAAGGAGCTCTGGTTACGAATCGGGCTGCTAACCTCAAGGTCGGCAGTTCGAAACTACCAGCTGTTCCGCGTGAGAAAGATGAGGCTTTCTGCTCCCATAAAGATTTGCAGCCTTGGAAACCTTGTGCAGGGTCACTATGGGTTGGAACTGACTCCACGGTACTTAACAACAACAACAAATGAACTCTATATTAAATCTGATCTTGTCTATAACAATTAAACTCTCACCTTAATCTCGACATCTAATCCTAAGGGAAATGTTCTCTAGGGAAGGAAAATACCACCACATTGTGTTTATCTTTCTCTTGTTGGAAGTTGAAATTTCTTACTCACTCCAAGTTGCAGAAGGTGGCACATTTTTATGCAGGTTGGGGATAGGGTTGAGGGTCTCCTTATATCAGTATGCCTGGTTCAGTCATACCTCCAGGACAAGTTTTACTTCTTTTGACAAAGTGAAAGAGGCTTACTCCCTGTTCCTGCACACTCTTTCACTGGGGGTGAGGGTTGCATGCAAGAGTGCCACATATTTAAGAGAAAGACTTTTTGTGACTGTTCTTCTCCTCCTCAGGTTTGGTTCCAGAACCGCAGAGCTAAGCAGAGGAAGCAAGAGCGGTCCCTGCTCCAGCCACTGGCTCATCTGTCACCTGCCACCTTCTCTAGCTTCTTGCCTGAGTCCTCTGCTTGCCCCTACTCCTACCCAACACCACCTCCACCAGTAGCCTGTTTCCCTCACTCCTTTAACCAGCCCCTTCCTGCCCAGCCTACCACAGGCACTTCCTTTGCTCTACCACACCAGTCTGAGGACTGGTACTCCACCTTGCACCCAACTCCAACTGGCCATCTGTCCTGCCCTCCACCACCATCCATGTTTCCCCTCAGCCTTGAGCCACCAAAGCCCTGGAACTAAGATCAAACAAGCAGATACTGATAAGGTGATTCCAAGCCTGTGGCACTCATGAAACACAGAGAAAACTGGGTGGCTTCCTTTCCTTCTAGGGGTAGAGTAGCAATATGGTGATGGACAACTAGGAGATTAGGAACTAAAAATTGGGAAATATGATGGCTTGCCAAGGTGATTGAGAGAATTTGGGGAGAGTATGGACTCAAAGTCTCAGTGAAGGGGTGTAATGGACGGAGGTGATTGTTGGTACTAGTGAAAAGAAATGATTGAAAGAGCTAGAACTTGAAGGGCTTTAGCAAGATTATGATTGAAGAGCTTCATCCCAGCTATCTCTAGCTGATTTCAATACGACTTTGATATAAAATCTACCTATATACCCTTTCTCCATTACCTACTGCACCATATAACTCAGTCATTAAGTTTGTTTCACTCTGTTCTACAGATAACTCTTGAATTTAGTCCTCTCCTTTCCATTTTAGCAAATATTTGCTCTTTGGGGCCTTTTTTTTTCCAAACCTGTTTTTAACCCCCTCAATGATTCTCTTAACTCCAGTCTTTTCTACTTCCTACTGGCCTTGGAAATATTATCATAAGTACCTTATTTTAATTTTATATAATTACATATATATTATAAACATGGTTCTTTATGTGGTGGTTGTTGTTGTTATGTGCTGTTGAGTCGGTTCCAACCTATAGTGACCCTGTATAGGGTTTCCAAGGAGCAGCTGGTGAGCTTGAACCACTGACCTTGCA